GTCGCCGGCCCAGACACATCACAGCCCTGCCCGGCCGACCCCACTGTCCTCTTGCCCAGTTCCCCTGCTGCTCCCACATCAGACACAGACCTGTGTGTGCACAGCCCTGCACCCGGGACCGGGACACCTGCAGGGCTCTCGGGTTCAACCCTGGCCAGGAGCTCGCATCCCCCACACCCCGTCCCACCCAGCCAGCCTTGACCTTGAATGGGACCTGCCCACCGAGCATCTGACCCCTCATCCACCTGCTCCTGCTCAGGAAGGCCCCACCCCACATGAGTCCTCCTTCCACACACATGCATGCACACCCACACTCACACACGCACACACACACTCGCACACGCGCGCGCGCGCACACATACACACTGGCACATACTCACACACACACACACACAGGGGGTTAGGGGACTCGGGGCTGCGCCCGTCGATGAGAGCTTGTAGGGCTGGGTGGCCGGCTCTGGCCTCCCGGTGTCACCTTTCTCTGCTTTCGGCCGAATGCCCAGAGGCGTCGGGCAGCCCTGAAACGACCTCCCGAGCGAGGGGAAGTGTTTGCCGGACGCGCAGTCCTCTGCCTCCAGCGTCCCGCGTTGGGGATGCAACATGCGAATGTGTTGTTGGTCGGACGATGTCCAAGGCAATGAGCTGGGAGGGGGCGTCCCTGGAATGTGGGTGCCTGGTGACGCGGGTTCCAATTCTGTTGGTCTCTGTGGTCAGGGAAGTGAGGTCACCATCCTGGGGACCCCTTCCCCGACTTCCACCTACCAGCCAAGCCCCCGAGGACCCCCTCCCCCAGCTGCTCAGTGCTCACCCTTCACTCCATGCCCCGTCCATACAGTGACACCCACACAGCCCTCCCACAGCCCCCGCCAGCCCAGGGTGCAACCATTGTCCTGGCTTTGAGGACAGAGTTGGGTTTGGTCCAGGTTCCTGCTTCTACCCGAGACTGTGACCCCAGACAGACCCTGTGCCTCCCAGGGCCTACCCGGGCTCTCCATCGGCACAGCAGGGTCTTCTGGCTTCTACTTCTCAGGATGCCATCCGGGGAAGGACTCTACAGACGTTCCGTCCCTGCTATCACAGGAGGCCGGTGCACACACTTGGCAATGCGAGGGGGAGCAGGAACTGGGCGGGGCGTGCAACAGAGCTCAGAGGGGCCCGGGTCTGCTCTGGGGTCCAGGCAAAGCCACTCCCCTGCTGCCCGTGTCCCAGCCCCTGTAGGAAGGCTACAATTTACTTTCTGACCTTGTCTCCTGGTGTGTCTCTGTGTCTTTCCCAGGAGCAGAATTGGGAGTTCTTGGGGTGATGTGGCAAACCCCAGATGCCCCCTTGTCCCCGTTTCCCTCTCCTGTCCTGGTGCTTGGTTCCCTCCTAAGGCCTCCTCACCCTGAGCAGAGCACAGAGTCTGGAGCCCCTTCCAAATGGGGCCTCTGAGGCGGCAGCATCGAGGGGCTGACCTTGGTTCCCAGACCAGTGGCTAAGTGCTTTGCCACTTTCTAGAAGCCCACGTCCTCAGCCTCCCAATCCCCCAGGCTGCCCTCTGGTCAGAAGCACCTTGAGGGCATACTAAGCATTTTCCCAGGCCTGGGAGCACAGTGGGTCCGTGATGGAGATCCAAGGCCAACAGTCTCTTCTACAAGCCTGTGGGTCCCTAGGGACACCCCATCTCCTCAGCCCACTTGACAGATGAGTGAGCTGAATCCCTTCATGCTCCAGCCCCATCCGGACTGGGGAGTGTCTCTTCCTACTTTCTATACCAGACCCCAGACCCTGTCCTCTCCCAGTGCCCTGGCAAACGCCCTGGGCCCTTTGGGGAGCCCCTGACCATCAGCCTGGCGTGACTCTGCTCCCCTATGCTATGGATCTGGGTTCTTGCCAGGAGTCCTGATGCCCCTGCCCCATGGCCCAGCTGTCTCTGACCTCTTTCTTCTTTCCCCCTCATCACCCACCCGCCTCCAGGGTGTCCTCTACTTTTGACCCCCAGCTGGGCAGTCAGAGTAGTGTGTGTGTGTGTGTGTGTGTGCGTGTGTGTGCATGCACATACATGCACGCGTGTACAGGTGAACATGTCTGGGGATGCCCAAGGTCATGTCCCCACATGGGACAGGGTGGGGACTTACCCCGAGGATCTGAGGGGCTCTCACCCCCAAAGTGAGCCTCATGGGAGGGTTGGAGCTGACCTAGGACTGGAGAGCTTCCCACTCCTTCGACTCTGTACCCCTCATTTGTCCTGGGCCAGTCCCTGCCTCTCTAGACCCCAGGTTCCCAACTGTCCCTGAGGGTTGGGCATGGGAATGCTTGAACTTGGCCTCTCCTCCAGGGGTAGGTGGAGGACAGGTGCACCAGGCACACAGGCCTCCCTCCCGAGAGGGCCAGGTGTGCACAAGGGACCTGCACAGCACCTGCACCATGACCCAGCCACACAGTTCTGCTCCCGACCTGTCCTCCGCCTTCCCTCACCCCCTGGGAGACAGGGGCTCTCCTCCGTCCTAGGGTCCTTCATCCTTCGGACAACGAGGGCACAGAGATCCATATGTAGAGAAGGCCAACTGTGCATCCCACGGAGTGTCCTGTCCCCACCGCTGCTTTTTTCTCTAGGGCTCCCGGCGGACCCCCACCTGGAACCGAGGCCCGCGGGGCAGGGAGACTTGTCCGCCCTGTTCCCTGACTTAGGCAGACTGTCTAGCTGGGGCTTCCTGTCCACGTGCGGAGTGAACGAAGCCCCACAGCATCTACGGGTCTCTGAGTGGGTCCGGGGCCCCTCCGCCAGCCCCCAGGGACCCCTGCTCTGGCTACAGCCAGGATGGGACCCCCAGATGGAATGTGAAACCCCCTCACAGCAGGGAAAGCGGCTTTCGCCGAGACACAGGACACCGAGGCTTGTTCATGGCGGAGAGGAGCCCTCTCCACGGGCTGGCCACGGGGTCGGGAACCTGTCCCAACAGGCCCGACAGCAACCCCATGTGTGGGGTCGGGCCTCGGGGCACACGGGGTCCACACGGGACACCTGAGGCTCAGAGAGGGAAGTGCCCCGCCTGAGACACACAGCCTGCAGGTGAGAGGGAGCCGCTGTGCGGGGCGGGGGTCCCTGCTCACCTTTTGGGAGCAGCAGGTGCGGGATCGGCGGCGGGGGTCACTCCAGTGGGAGGTGCAGGTGCACCGGGAGAGGGGACACAGGAGAGGGCGCCGCCCTGGCTCCACCGGCTTCCTTGGGGTGTCAGCGCGGGCCGTCCGCATCTTCGGCTCCCGTCCACAGTCAGGGCACACTCATTTTCACAACGGGGCTAAGCTTTGGACAAAGGCGGGACAGTCCCACAACAGAAATTGCATAAATATTCCCGTCCCTATCCTGAGGGGCAACAGAGTATGAAGGATGGCCGTGTTGTCTTACACGTATGTGAAGGATGATCGTGCACCTGCCGAGGCCGGGGCTGCAGAGGGGGCAGGGGGGTGAGGGGAGCAGCCCAGACTCCTAGGGTTGAGACTATGGCCACTTACAGGGTGAAGCCCTTATGAAACTCTGGGTGGTAAGGCTCCTGGATGGCTTGGGGGCAGGAGCCCCTCCAGCCCTCCCCATGCCCGGTCCTGGAGACCCCTCGTACCCACACTCCCCGTGCTTCCTGTCCCATTGGTGGCATGGCACTCAACCTCACTGTGGTCACGAATCCATGATCTTGGCTCTCCCAGGCCCTTGCTCTGGTGGCTGCCACCAGCACCAAGATAGCTGCTGGTCGCAACAGTGCCCTGCCAGGGCCCAGGGAGGTCCGGTCTAGGGGCAGGTCAGACACTGCAGCAGCCTAGGGGATGGGGAGGGTGGAGGCCCCCCTTTCTCTACTTACAGGGAGGCCAGTCCCGTCTTCCAGGCCTTGCACACACTCACCGACTCCTTTGGGCGCTCCTGGGGTTCATTTCCAGGGTAGCAAGCTTGGAGGTCCCCTGCCACCAGGGTCAGCCTTATAGGTCAGTTTAGAAGTGGCCCAGGAGCCTCCCTGATCTTCCTAGAGTGGCCGCACTGTCTGTCCCAGAAGCCTGCTCCGCACCTTTGGGTCCCCAATGCCCTAAAGGTGTCTCGCTCACTTGTGTCTCCCTGTCCTGTTAGCTCTTCACTCAGCAGGGGCCCCCCTGTCTGCCCGGCTGTGCCCCCAGTACTCCCAGGAGCAGCGCACGGCAGTGACCAGTAACAACCGGTGTCACCCCTGCTGCCTTCAGCATGCAGCTTCTGGGGACTCTCAGAGGACAGAGGAGGGCCGGGGCCAGGCCAGCAGTTAGTACATTCCCCTGGTGGTACGGGGTAGGGACCATCGCACCGACCCCAGCCCCTAAACCAGGACAGGACGAGGGCTGATCCCACGTCCCATGTGTTTTGCCTTTTGCTGTGTCGCTCACTGTCCTACCCAGATCCGAGCCGCTCGGGGGCCAGCCTGGGACACATCCTCCTTCCACAGCCTGCTTCTGAGGCCTGGCATGGCTCTCTGTCCCCCTTGGGCTCGCGGGGGTCCTGAACAGGCCCCAGAACTGCCATTCACAGGATGGTTTCACGTCGCATTTGGGTTTCAAAGGGTCTTGGCTCTTTAGAACCAGCCTCTCGGGAGCTTGGAGGGATGGGGGCCGAGCATCTCATTCCAGGAGTGGCAGGTGGTGCAGTGAACGCCCCAGAAATCCCTGGGCATCGCCAAGTGCCGAGTGGCCTGCACACACGAAGCTCAAGAGACCCGGGGGCTTTGTGGGCTCTGCAGGAGTGTCACAAATGCCACATCCACAAGCAAAAGCATGTAAGCCACGCTGTGGAACCCACAGGCTGCAGAGGCACATTTGTCCAAACATAAGCTTTATTTCTGTGACTCTGTTGCCCGCTTGGCCTGGCCTGTCCCAGCCCAGAGGGGATTCTCTGGGGGTCTCGCCCTGAGGCCTCCCGTGACAAAGCAGCCCGGCCCTGGCCTGCACTGGCGGGGAATGGAAAGCGAAGAGGACCAAATTCAAGGTGCGAGCGAGGTTTTTCAGACTCTAGGACAGGCACGTTTCCTGACGGGTCCTCTCGGGACCAGCTGCCCGCTCTCTGTGTCTCTGCCGGGCCCCGCAGGTCTGGAGCGGGCCCCTAGGGTGGGGGTGGGGGGCAGCTGCCGGGAACGTTTACCAACAGCAGGGACCCAAGCGATGCCTTGAGCCACCGGGAACCTGCTGGAGACCAGGGCCAGGGAAGGGGCTCCCAGCATAGCGGCAGGCTGGGCTGCCGCTCTCCGTCGGGTGAGGAGTGGGGGTGTGGAGGGACCTGGGTCCAGCCCGGCCTAGGCTCCCAGGGAAGGAGGGGCAGCCAGCCCCTGGGCCCCGGCCCCCTGCTCCACTGGGCCCTGCAGACGATACAGGGCCTCCATCTGCCTCCGCTTCTCCTTGGCCCGGTGGATCGTGGTCTGGAAGAGCCTGCAGAAGAGCTGGACGGCCGGGGGCGAGTCGTCGTTGCCAGGGACGGGGTAGGTGATGAGGCAGGGGTTACAGTTGGTGTCCACGATGCCCACCGTGGGGATGTGCATCTTGGCCGCGTCCCTCACAGCGACATGCGGCTCAAAAACGTTGCTGAGCGTGTGCAGGAAGATGACGAGGTCCGGCAGGCGGACCCCGGGGCCCAAGAGGAGCGGGGCATTGGTCAGCAGGCCGCCCTTGAAGTAGCGTGTGTGTGCATACTCGCCACAGTCCCGGGCCGTGGTCTCAATCAGGTGCGAGAACTGCCGGTTGCGGCCCACGAACAAGATGATGCCCTTGCGATAGGCCACGTGGGCTGTGAAGTTCAAGGCCAGCTGCAGGTGCACGGCCGTCTGCTCCAGGTCGATGATGTCCTGGCCGAGGCGGCTCCCAAAGATGTAGGGCTCCATAAACCTGCCGGAGACCCCACCCACGCAAGAGTGGGCAACCTGTGCACGGCCAACCCCGCCCGGCTAGCGGCCCCAGGGGCCCTCTGGGGTCTGCTAACCCCGGAATTGGCACAATCTGCAAGCCCGCCACGAGGCAGTGGGGGTGGGATGGGGGTTGGGTCCAGCTCCTCTGCCCCGGGGAGCTGGGTCCCATCACCGTCCCCCTAGATGTCTCCGAGCACCTCCCTCCCTGGCCTCCCCGACCCTCCAAAACATCCTCAATTGCGGCCATCCCAGTGAGACCCTTCTCTGCAATCCTGGAGCCCCCGTCCCCTGCTCCCAGGAGCTGCCAGCAATGGGTCTGCCCTGCTAGGGCCGGGAGCCTCAGAGGTATGAAGTCTGGCACAGGTACCAGAGCGGAGTGCGAGGATGAACACTTCTCCCTGGGGCTCAGTGGCCCCATCAATGGGACGGCGCTCAATCTGCTCCATGCCATCGTAACAGGAACCCCAAGGATCCTGAAGCAGGAGGGCCTCCTGCTGTGCCGCTCACTGTCCTGCCCAGATCCCTGGGCTCCGCCATACCCCGCCCAGGGAGTCCGCTACCTGTGCCGACAGCCTGCTTTGTGGCCCAGGTGCACGCGGGCGTTGAAGAGACTTCTCACGGAAAACAACTCCTTGACGTTGAAGAAGTCAGAGTGCTTGAGGGGCTCACTGAGGATCCTGTCGCTGACATCTGGGGTAGGGGGAGAGGATGCCATGGCCTGTGGACCCCCAGCTCCCAAAGGTGGAGGGGAGCAACATGGGGGTGGGGAGGGGCAGTGAAGCCCGGCAGATGGGTCCTCTCCGGGAGACCTGCCTGGAGCCAGGGTCTGACTCCCGCTTTGCTCCTGGGGAATCCCGGTCCAGTCTTCACCCAGAAAGGAGGGGCCCGGCTGGTTTCCGAGGTCCTTCAGGCTCCACCCAGCCACCAGAGGACAGTCCCCCCAGCAGGAGTCGGGGAGGACTCAGCGGTCACCTCCCAAGGAGCCACGCCACGTGGTAATGTCTCCCTCCTCCCACCCACCCCAGGGGTGCCACCCATCAGGGTGCGGAGGGGCAGAGTAGCGCCGCTTCGGTGCGGGTGACCCCCGCGCGGACCATGCGGGGCTGCCGGGCCAAGAGAGGGAGGCCGGCTGCCCCTTCTTTCCGGCCCGCACCCCTCCCCAGGGCGTCACGACGAAAGCCGGGGCCCCCGGGCCTCCCGCTGGCGGACGGTTTCAACCCCGCGTTCGGGGAGGGGCCGGCATTACCGGTGCTGCTCTCGGGCGCGCTGACGGCGGAGGTCGCGGCGCTCGTCAGGGTCCTGCCGCTCGGCAGGGGTCGCCCCGGGGTCGCGCTCGGCAGCAGGCGCGGCCGCAGCGGCCGGGACCAGACACCTGGGGAGAGAGCGGGCTGGAGGCGCGCGCCCGGCCGGGGTCCCCGCGGGTCCCGCCGCCCCCTGCCGCGGGGACGCCCGCGCCGCCCCGGGACCCCCGCCCAGCCTCCCGCCCGCGCCCGCGGGGCCCGCGCGCACTCACCCGCGCCGAGCAGCCGGGGCACGGCGGGCGCCATGGCGCGGAGGGCAGGACGGGCCGGGCCGGGCCAGGACGCGCCTCCCGCCGCCGCCACCGCTCCCCGGCTGCTCCGCGCAGCGCCGCCTGCCGTCCCGGAGGAGCCCCTGCAGCTGGGCCGCGCGCCGGCCCCCTCGCCCTCCGCACCTCGGGACAGTCCCGCACCGCCTGCCGCTGCCCCAGGGAGCGTCCCGTGGGACGGGGCGCGTCCGGAGTCCGCATGAAGACTCCGGGCCGGGGACACGACGTCTGGGCCCGCGGCGCCCAGGCGCGCAGTGAGCGGCCACGCGGAGCTGGCGCTGGGCCGTTCGCGGGTGAAGCGCGAGGCCCGGGGCCCCCCTGCGGGGAGGGGATGGCAAGGAACGCGGGCGTCGCCCCCAACCCCCACCGCCTCCCGGCGCGGCGCCTTTAAGGCCGGGCCGCCGGGTCACCTGACCTCGCCGTCGCCTGGCAACGGGACGCCGCGCGGCCTCCCGCGGTCTCCCGCCGCAGCCCCGAGCGCAGGCGCATGGCCCAGGCGGGCCCGCGAGCGTGCGCGACGGCAGCGGAGCCCCCGGCCCCGGTCCCCCCGGCCCCCCCGGCCCCCCCGGCTCCCCCGGCCCCCCCGGCTCCCCCGGCCCCGGCCTCCCCCGCCTCCGCGCTCCCGCAGAGGACCAGCGACTGCTACCGCGTGGACGACGACCTGCCGGCCAGGTTCAACAACCCGGCGTGGTTTCGGGGCTACGGGTGAGGACGGGGTCCCGTCAGGGGCCGCCTGACCTCGCAGGGGCTCGGGCGGAGGCTCCGCTCGCCAGGCCTGGACGCGGGCGTCCCCAGGTCCCCAGCCTGTCCTGGAGCCCAAGTCAAAGGGGGGTCAGCCGTTAGCACCCAGTGAGTGAGAAAGTGCCCGAAGCTGCGGGCGCCCCAGCGGGGTCGGGGTGGGGGCTCCCAAGGGCAAGGGTGGCCAGGAAGCCGCGCACCCCGCTACTGGGCCCAGCCCCGCGCTTTTGTGCGGGGATAAGCTTCGGTCCTCTAGGCCGCCTGGAGCCTCTGCAAATGGGAATCGGCGACCCCCCACTGTCCCATGCAGATCTCAGACCGCACAGCCGGGAACCCGTCACCGCCCTGCCGTCCCGCACCCAGTCCCCTCTGCAGCGCTGGGCGCGAGGGCCCCTCCTCATCCTTGTTTCCCGAGAGAGGCCGCTGGGGCGCCAACGGACAGCGTTTGCCCAAGGTCCGGTGGCCTAAGGCAGAGCTGACCTGGGAAGAACAGCCCCTCCGTTAAACTTTGTGGGCATGAGAGACCGTGGGCGTGTTCCCCCAGACGCTCAGAAGTGGAGGGTGGAAGGAGAAGGGTCGAAAGGTCGGGGGCTGCGTTTTCCTTCCAGGAGGTCTTTGGGGCTTTGCCCCCCTTGGGGAAGAGCTGGGGTGACCTCGAGCAGGGGAGGCTGAGCCGAGCCCCACGGGAGCCCACCTGCACAGCCGCATGGCCACCCTGGGGCCTTCCCAGCAGAGCTCCGCAACCAGACGTTCTAAGGCTGCGGTCTGGGCGTCCTTAGAGTAACTGAAAACAGGCTGTTTCTCACCCGCCAGGACCAAGAAGGCCATCTCAGTGTATAGGACCAGTAATGGTGCCTATGGGAGCAGAGCCCCCACTGTGCACGAGATGCCGGTACGTGGGAAGCCTGTGGGTCTGCGGAGCCTCTCCGGGAGGAGGCTGCCCCCCCCCCCGATTCCTGGGGAGGGCAACACACCATGAGGGGGTGGTGGGGAGGGGCCCTGAGTCCCAGCATCCCAAAGCGGGAGGGGGCACATCTGATCCTTCCCAAACAGGGCAGAGGAGAAATAAGTGAGTGAGCAACTTCGGCAGTGAAAGCTTTTATGGATCAAAAAGGTGTGTGCGGACTGGTGACGCTGTCCCAGGAGACTGGCCCCGGTCACACGCGGACTGGTCAAGCCATCCCGGGAGACTGGCCCTGGTCACATGCGGACTGGTCAAGCCATCCCGGGAGACTGGCCCTGGTCACATGCAGGCACTATGACCTCTGGCACCTTAGGGCAGTGAGTTCTGAGGCCAAGAAGAGAACAGCTGCTTTCTTTCTGGAATAATACTTGATTTTAATTAACCTGTCACCTTAAGAAACAGTACCGGCCCATATCCCTGGTTGCACAAGCCCAAGGCTCATGGGTGGATGTGGGGACCTGTGCACCTTTGTGGACTCTCCACCCCCCTTTTTGAGGTCGACTTCACAGCCTGGAGATCTAGAACCCCCTTCTAAAATCCTCCTGATGCCCCTCCTGGGCCAGGTGGAGGCCAGCAGACGGGCACGGGCACCCCTGGATACCCAGGACAGTAACGACTCCCATTTTGGGGCCTCACTCCACAAGGGCAGTGCCTCCCCACGCCCCTGGGCTGGTGCGGTAGGGGCATCAGAGACGTTTTAAAGCCCTAAAGGGATTCGACCCTGCAGTCAGGGTTGAGACTCACGGATGGCTCTTACCGAAGAGAACACTGAAGTTCAGAGAGGTCCGGTCACTTCTCCGGTTGGTAGGGGCAGGACCCCGGGGGTCCCATGGGGCAGGCCGTCCTTCCGTCCGCCCAGGGGGAACACAGGCACTGTCCGTGATTATTCCCAGACCTCGGGTATAAAGCAGGATGGTCCGGGGCGAACTAGGCCATACCCCCCACCCTGGCTTCTCTGCTTCCTGGGAACCGAGATGACATTTTCTCGCAGATGCTTACTTTTCTTCCAGAAATGCCTGTCGGCTGACTACTCAGGGACGTTCCAACACCCCATTAATTCGAGTGTCCCTTTTCACTTACAGAAAGTATTTTATCCAAATTCGAATAAATTTTCCAGACAACTTGCAGCTGGTGGAATGTTCCAGAACAATACCTTCAACGTCTCCATGGAGAAGAGCGTTGTGACGGGTCCCGACAACCACATCACCCCCTACGACCGGTTCAACTTCCACCCCAGTTACAACGTCAGCAAGCCGTCCTTCTGCGCTTGGCCGGCCTCCTGACCCGGCGGCTGTCTGAAGTGTCACCCCTGCTCTCTCATCACCTGCCCAGTTGTGGGACAGGCTTCACTGCTTTCCCTGAAAACGTTTTTTTCTCTTAAGATTAGAAAAACACGCAGACGGGGCTGTCAGGCCCCCTTAGTTCTGTTTTATGTCTAAGATAGAAAAGATGCTAATGGCTTGACTTTTCATTAAAAATGTTGCCACATCCCGAATTCCTGACTCACCGGGAATCAGGGAGCAGGACCGTCGACGTCCTGGACCCCGCGTCGTGGCCTGATGCTGGGAGTGTCTGGGTAGCCCTCCCTGTGTCTTTCCTGGGAGCCGTCTTATACTCATGACAAGTGATGGAGTGGGTTTCGGTTCCAGAGCTCCCTGGCGGAAATCTGCACCAACTCTGGGAGCCACGGCGGGAGGGTTGGGTGCCCCGCTCGGGGGCCTGGGGCGAGGACAGAGGCTGCGTGGGGAAGACCCACAGGAGCGCCGTCGCTGTCCCTGACCCAGGCTGGCCAGCTTGGAGTCCAGGCAAACGCCCCGCAGCCACAGAGGGGCAGGCCTGGGAGGCCAGATCTGTGGAGGCGTGATGTGTACGTGGGACTTCTCTCTGGGGGTTCACTTTTAGTTTTCAGTACAAAGTTAAAAAACCAGCAGGCAGGGAATGACACACTTCTCTCTGTAGTTCCTGATCCACGTTTGCTAGGATGTAGAGAGTGGGTTCTCCAGGAGGAGAGTTTTTCCGGGCCGGTGTCTTATCTTTCAGACCCCGCTCCCCACCTTCCTTCCTGAGAGTATGGTGTGTTTGTTCTGGGAAGCCTGGGAAGCACGGGCTTCTGGCGATGTCATTGTTCCCTACCACGGATGACAACCCAGCCACGAAAATTTTTGTCCCATGAAAGTGGGAAGAGATTAAAACTCATGCCTGCTTATTTTTTCATTAAAATTTTTTTATTAATATGCAAAAGTAAACATTTCGACCATACTCTTAATGTCCAATTTGGGATGGAAATGGTTTCCACAGAAAATCAAACAGTCTTTTTTAAAAAAACTTTTTATTAATTTTTTGACAGAGAGAGACACAGCGAGAGAGGGAACACAAGCAGGGAGAGTGGGAGAGGGAGAAGCAGGTGTCCCGCCGACCAGGGAGCCTGATGGGGGACTCAATCCCCAGACCCCTGCTAAGGAGGTAAAGCCCGATTCTGGTGTCCTTAACGGGATCCTCTACATAGAACAAGGGTATGGAAAACAGAGGTACCTTTGATAGAACATATGTGCCTGTCTTCCCAAAGAACCAGGAGCGTCTCCAGCTCGGGCTCCCGGTGTCTGGGTCCTGCGGCCGGGGCAGTGGCCCTGCTCCCGTCTGCCCACTAGGGTTTTGGAGGATTTTGACATCATCACTTGGGATGAGCCCCAGCCCTGCAGCCCCTGGGTTGGAGCCCACCTGGGATGTGCCCAGGGAGGTGCAGCTGCAGGCTTTGGACCCTGGCCATTTTAGCATGTTTTCCGCCTGGAATCTTGATGTGTGAGCGGGGAGAAGGGTATGTGGGTGGGCGGGCTCATGGAGGGTGGCAGGAAGGCGCCCTGGGTTCCCAGTCAGCTTGACCCCCCGGGGGTGCTGTGGGGGGAGGGACCCCTCCACTCTCTGATGTGGGTCCTGACATCTCTCGAAGTTCTCGCCACGGTCAGAACAGTTAGCAGAGAGGGGGGCGCAGCATCTGCTGATGGCGCGGCCAGGAGAGGCGGTCTTCATCCCCGAGGAGGCCTGGCCGTGTGGGGCCGATTTTTCCCCACCACGCGATGAAACCCCGAGAAACAGGGCTTCCGAAGACCTCACTGACTGGTCCCTCGGTGCGGCCGTGGGTGGGCGGAAACGGCGACTCGGGACACCAGACACGTGTTCACACGGGTGCTGTAGACTTGTCCCCAGCGGCTTTCCGCCTTTCAGTTACAGTCACTCGGAATGAGCGGTTCCAAACAGAGAGGAAATTTGTCAACACCGGGGAGCACCTCTCTGTCGAGAGCACGGAGAAGCAGAAGCCCCACGGATCCTGCAAATAAACTGTTCCCCGCTCCCAGTCGGCCTCGCCCAGAGCAGCCGCGGCTGTGCTTTGCAGACGTCAATGGTGGGGGCCTTCGGCAGGCCCTTCAGTTCATGGGGAGGGACGGGGAATGGAGGCGCAGTGACTTTCCTGTCTTTACAGGGGCGCGTACGGGGCTAGCAACTTAAGGGCCTGGCTCCCCAGTGCAGGTGTGTCTCAGCTTGTGAAAACCTGCTGACAAGCCAGATTCGGCGCCTTGTCTGTGGAAGACCCTCCCTCTGCAGGTGCGGGCCGCGGGCATCCCACCCAACCGACAGGCCCCCCGCCCCCCGCCTCCCAGACACCTGTGCCCATTCTTTCCGGAAAGATGCAGTGAGTCCCAGGATGCCCTACAGGAAAATCAGGCCTTTCCCCTTCTTTACATTAAATGAAGGAACCCCGTAGCCCCGGACTCACAGACTACTCCTTCCTGGAGACGGGAGGGGGTGGCTTCCCAAGGATCAGTTTGACTTGGTAACGCATCATCCCTCCGACTGCGTGGGAGGGCGAGCCCCTGGGGTAGGGAGCTGCAGCTCCCTGGACTCTGCTAATTTGGTGCTGCGCCAGGCTCCACTCACTTCCCCCACCGCAGCCCTCCTTCCAGACAGGCTGCAGGGACACCTCTGGGCTGGCCCCAGCATGCGCCAGAGGTGATCTGGGGTGGGGGCGCAGAAGCAGGAGGGTGACGGGGGTCCTGGGGATGGACCCGCACTGCCCAGGAACTACGTAGCATGGGGGTCGGCCCCGTGGGGGTCACGGGAACCCGAGAGGCAGGAAGGAGGCAACTGCAAAGGGAGCCGGGTCTGGGGGAGACCCAGCAGGGGCGAGGGGTGCCCAGGGCTAAATGCACAGGTGGGCCCCCTTGACATCACCCCACAAAGGCCAGTCCAGGGAAGACAAGCTTCGAAAGCCGATTCATGAGCAGTGTTTGATTTATTAGCGTTTTTAAAAATCCGGTTCTTATGTACAAAACAAGCTGATTTTTGTTTTCAAGTGTGAAGACCACTCTTTAAAAATTAAATTTAAAGCATGGATTACACGAATTTAACTGTTTTCCCCCGGAAGCACCTAAGTGAGTAAGAACCAGACGGGCGCTGGCAAAGGCGCCCGCACGCGTCCTGGGCAGGCTGCGGCGTGGGTGCGGGAGTGCCGTGCGGCTAAATCCCGGAAAATTCACTCGCGTGTTCAACGCCGGCTAAACTGAGCTGCAAAGTCAACCTTGCTCTGAGTCCAGCACAGCCAAACGGCAGTGGAGAGCCGTGAAGACTGGGGTCACTGCCGGAAGTCTGCTGGACGGCTGCACGGCACCGCCGTGACCGCTGAGCGCCCGCCCCGCGGGTTGCCTCTGGGCAGAAGGCACGGGGAGCCCCACACCTCTCCACCCGGCAAGGCCCCGCAGCTCAGCTCAAACACACCTTGAGGCTGGGCGCCCCGCCCGTGACCATGCACCGCGTGGGGCCAGGCCCTGGTCCTGCCTGGGGAAGGCAGGCCCTGGGAAAGCCACCAGGCGTGTCTGCTGGGTGGTGTGAGCCCACCTTGATGAGGCCCCGATCCCGGGAGGGTGCAGGGCCTTGTCCCGGGCGCTTGCAGCGTTGGGCACCAGAACCAGCCAAGTGGCTCGAGCCTTGTGTGTTCCAGTGCCCAGGCCAAGAGGAGGACATTGAGAACACACAGGTTGTCTGTTACCCTTCGGATCTGTGACTAAGACTGGAGAACAGTGGCTCCCATAAAAAAGAGCTTTATTGAGCTGCTAGAATCACGCAGGGGTCGCACGGGACTGGGTGTGAAACACCACGGGCTCAGGTGTGGACCTCGTGTGCCACCGAGGCCTCCCGTGGCATTTCCACATGCAATAGGGGACGGCCAGTCGTGCGCTCGCTGGCCTTTGTGCTTTGAGATGTTTTCCAATTGAGGCCACAAGTGTAGAGTCCAGAGGCCTCACTCTGGCCTCGTGGGCCCAGGGGCCTTTATGTTAAAGTGCTGTCCAGCAGCTTCCCAGCGGAGTCTTCTGTGGGTGCCTTTGTGACTCTCGGGGCGGGCCGGTGGCGACTGCTACCTTCCCCGGACACAGCCAGCCGTTCCCAGCTGCAACTGCCCTGAACTATCAGAGTCAGGTCACGTCACCCCTGGCTACGATGGTCCCATGTCCGCTCGTCTCACGCTCGCCTGGACACCATGGAAAGCCACGGCGAGGCCCGCCCTATAAAATCGAACAATGGTTATTTTCCAAAAATATTTTTTACAGCACTTTAAATAATTTACAAAAAAGCTACAAAAATCATATATTCCAGGACACATCCGTTAAATAACACCATCGTTCCCAGTGCACGGAGTATATACAGGGCGGCGCAGAGCAGCATCTGGGTTCAGTCACGGGGTGAGGAGTGTCACGCACACGCACGGGCACAGCGGGTCTGCTTCCCAGGAAGACGGAGCCCGTGAGCAGCCTCATGGCTGGAGGGCTTTGCCCTTGGCCCCCGAGCCGCCACCCTCCTCCATGGAGGTGTCACTGAGCTCGCTGGAGTCACTCCCCAAGGCCTCCTGGGCCTCACTGCCTCCACCAGTGGCCCCCCGCCTGTACCGCAGGTCTAGAACGTCCTCCTCGGAGCCCGAGTTCCTCCTGGCGTGCAGAGCGCACGCCGCCTGGGACTTCCGGCCGGGCCAGTGTCCCCCATCTTTCTTCGTGAGCAGGGGCGCGCTTCCAAACACGGGGCTGTGGCCGGCTGGGGTCTCTCTGAAGGCTGAGAAGGCCGGGCCCTGCAGGGGCAGACTCAGGGGCGGGCTGAAGACGCCGGCCTGCTTGCCGCCCCAGGAGACGCTCTTTCCAAAGTGGAACAGCTGTGTGGACAGCAGCGAGGAGAAGCCCGTGAAGGGCAGGCCTTTCTTGGGGTCCTGGCCCTCCCGCCCCTGCTCTCTCTGGCCGCTGAGGCCCCCTCTCCACACAGCCTCTCTGCCTTCTGGGCTCAGCGCCCACGTGCTCTGCAGCCGACTCTGGTGGGCGAAGTTGGCCCACGGGAGGGCGAGGCTGGCCTGTGGGCTCCCTAGCCCATCTGCTCCCGGCTTCTGAGTCCGTGGGCTCTGGCCCTGGGTCGTCACAGCAAAGGCCATACCGGGGCTTTCTGCCCGGATGCCCACTTCAGCTCGAGCAGGCAGCGAGCCAAGAGCACGTTCCCTGGCACGCTCGGTCCCTCTCGGGCTCTGATCTTTGTGGGTGCAAACCAGTCGCCGACCAGCAGCCGACCCTTTGGCAGACAGGGCCCCCGCCATGCTGGTGTGCCTGGCCACGGCTCTGGGGAGGCAGGCCTGCTCTGTTCGGGGGCCGCTCCTCCCGCCTGGAAGGAAGGCTCTCCCCGCACCCCCCGGGCCTCCGGCCTGTTGAGGACCGCCCCTGCCCCGCTGGCTCCGCGTGCACACACCGGGATGAGGGGCCAGGGCGGGCACTGGCCCCTTCCGGCATGGCAGCTCTGGCCTAGGCACACTCCCCATCCCTGGGGCGGCTGGGGCCCCTCCTGGGGCTTCCGAGCCGCTCCCGGACTCCTTGGCCTTTTCGGCCAAGAACTTCCTGATCTCCAGCTCGATGCTGTCATCACTGTCCACAGAGCTGCTGTCCTCGGGCGGAGGCTGAGGGCCGGGGGCTGCACCTTGAAGTTCACAGGTGGCGGCTTCAGGGAAGAACAGATTCCCTTCAGACGCTCTTCTCCGGAGCGGGAGGGCCGGGGGCACATCGCCGGGGCCCGCGCCGTCCGCTCCGGTTCTCTCTGGGTCTCTGCAGGAGATGCTCAGAGCCTTTTTCCCCAGGTTCTCCCTGCTGTCTTTTTTGGGCTTCGAGAGGCAGCTTTTCAACAGATGGGGGCTTCTGTCCGTCCAGTCTCTCCGCAAGCCACCGAGTTTATGCAAGAACTGGGGCTCGGTGGTGCTGAACCTGACCTTCCTCTTGCGCGCGGCCCTGGGGTCCCTCCACCTCTTCTTGAGCCTCCGCCTGGACCGCAGGAGGTCCTTGATGGCGGAGTCCAGGTCCTCGTCACTGTCCAGGGAGCTGCTCTTGTCCTCAGAGCTGCCCCGCTCACCAGCGCTCGGTGCTGGGGCCGTGTTCCCATGGCCGGGCCACACGCTGCCCCCGGGGCCACCGTGCTGGTCGCCCGCCTCACGTGGCCTGCAGGGGATGGGCTGGCCCTTGGTCTGGCCTTCTGCGCTGGGGGCCTGGCCAGGCTGTGCGCTCGCTGGGCTGTGGTCAGGATCCTGGGCGCCCTCCTGTGCCATCTCTCTCACTTTCTTGGGTGTGGACAGTGGCCCAGTGTGGCTGCCTCCTCTGCGTTTCCTTTTGCAGCTCAGCGACAGGCCCAGCGTTTTAGAGCTGGGGACCCTAGGGCCAGGTGGCGGTGCTGGGCTCAGAGTGGTCTGCGGGCAGCTCTCCGCTCGGGCCAGCCAAGCTCCTGACTGTGCCTTCAGAGCCAGGAACGTCCGGATTTCCTGCTCTATGCTGTCATTGCTGTCCACGGAGCTGCTGTCCCCATCACAGCGGGAGGGCACGGTCAGGGAGCAGGAGAGTGGGCTGGCGGGCAGGGGTCTCTCACTGCCCACTGCAGGGACTGGCAGGATGGTTTTGGAAATATCCAAAATTGCTTCGGCACACATCAGCTCAGCGGACGTGTCTGCCCGGCATGGCGGCCATTCCGCAAGCTCGTTTTCAGCAGCTCTGGGATCTCTGGGTGGCTTGGAGGGGAGGGCAGGGTCAGGGCCACCTGGGCTGAGGTCCACGGCCTTTGGGGCCGTGGGCTTCTTCCTGCTTGGTGTTTTCCTGCGGGTTTCAGGCAAGGCACCTTTTGTGGCATGGCCTGTGCTGCGCGTGGGAGGGTCGGGCTCCTTCCCCTCCCCACCCAGCGTTCCCTGCGGCGGGTCTCCGCCGGCCTCCTTCCTCTTCTCCAGCTGGTACAGCTGGATGGCCTCCTCAATGCCATCATCGCTGCTGGAGCCAGACGCCTTGGACACCAGGGCTGCGCTCTTGGCTCGCTTGGCCCTCCGCCCAGGGCCAGCGCTCCTCCTGACCGCGCCTTTATTCTGGGCTGCTTCTGCAGGGCGGGGGTCCGCGCTCTCTGGCTCGGCAGTGGCCTTGGACTTGAGGCCTCGGGGCCGTGCGCTCACCTTGGCTAGCCTGGGAGGTTTCCGGAAGAGAAAGTCCTTGCAGGCCCCCATCACTTCCTGCCGATGTGTCTTGACTGTCGGCTCTTTGCCGGATCTAAATGCTGATCTGACCGCATTATTGCTGAGGTCTGGTTTCGCGTCCACAGAAACCTCACATCTTGGGGTCTCGTGTTGCCTTTTCTCGCTCAGAAACTGTTCTATCTCTGCCTGGATGCTCTGCTCAAAGGAGTCGTCGCTGCTAACGCTAACCGGGGAGGCGGAGCCCCGGTCTTGGCCGGCTCCTGCGCGGCTGCCAGGGGTGCCTCCTGGGCTGGGTGCCAACTTCGGGGGACACGGGGCAATCAGGGTGCTACTCAGAGGAACTTCTGGTTTGGACCGCCTGCCCCCCTCCGTGGCCGCAGGCAGCTGGGCGGCCCCGCTCTTGGCCTTCAGGTACTCCTGGATTGCTTCCTCGATGTCCCGGTCCACGGAGTCGTCGCTGTCCGAATCCAGCACCAAGGGGCCAAAGTCTGCGGCTTCCTCCTCCCTTGAAGGGACAAAATCAGTGCTGAGACCACAGGCAGTAAACGCGGGGGTGGCGGCCAGCCTGGCGTCCTGGCCTTTCTCTGCTCTCTGGCTCCTGTGCACGGCAAGCTCATCGCTCATGCCCAGAGCAGCCTGGTCGCCCTGGAGCGCGCTGATGACCATCTGCACTTGGGCACTCACCGAAGCCCTCGAGACGCCCTCCTTCGGCTCTGAGAAGCACCCAGGAAACCTAAAGCTTCCTGGTGTGCTGAAGGCCTCCCATTTGGACTGGAGAGCGACCACAGGACGGGCGTTCATGAGAAACATTCTAGCAGACGGGGAGGGGCGTGCGGAGTGGTGGGTCTTTATTTTTCTGCCCCTTTCACATCCTGGATGGAAAGAAAGGACGCTGGTAGGATGCCATTCTGCTGGGCCACGCGGCCACAGGGGAACCACCTGCCGGGCCAGAGTCCAGAGGGCCGGGTCAAAGGCTGACACCAGGCGAGCTGGGGGCGCCGGGCGGGTCACTCACGCTTCCTGGCCTTGCTGTGCTCTGCGGCAGGGGGAGGCCGGCCACGCAGACTGAGTGCTGGACCGCTCTAAGCCACGGGCACCGTGTTCACACAGGACCGCACGCCAGTGTCCCCTCCAGGCCCACGCTCCTGCTCCCGCCGTCCATCTTCTCTGTAAGGGAAATGGGGTCTGGTCACAGCCGAGGCCGTGGGGAGGCGCCGCACCATCAGGTCCGCACGTGCTTCTCCTCGGGTCACAAAGAAGGGCGACGAGACTCTAAGCGGAGGGAGACTTCGCGGGGTCGTTTCATTCTTGATGCGACAAACAAGCTCCTGAAACAGAAAGCGACGTGAGGTGAGCCATTAAAAAACGATTTCCCCGAACGTCCCAAGTCAGTCATGTTAAAGCCTTTTTATTTAAAAATGTCAGACGTGTATCTGTCAGGCAGTCTCATGGGCCCAGACTGCTGTGTCTAGCTAATTAGCAGAGAAGCGGCCCCGGACACTGTCCTGTGCCCTTTTCCATCCTGTCTGGGTACTCCGGGCCCCACATCTCAGGCCGAAGGTAGCCTTGGGCTCGTCTTGGGAACAATGTCAAGGCCTGCTCGCACACAGCCTTTCCATTAGAGGTCAGGGACCGCCGCTGCAGAGGGGAGCGCTGCGTGCTCGGTGAAGGGTCACGTAGAAAGTGTGACGTGTCACATAACCATTCCTTCCTAACCTGTTGCTCCTGCCTCTCCTGACCACCCGCACCCCCTCCCCAAAATGGGAACGTGGAGCACACGGGATGCCGGAGACCAGCTCTAAAGCACCTGCAGACACAGGGAAACGACCACGACCCCATAACAGTGCCACGCTGGGCTGTCACCGCCCTTGCAACCTCACCGGGAGGGCTGGAGCGGGCCTGCCTACTGGCTTTGCTTTCGACACGGGTCCTCCTCCGCCGGGAGCTGCTGTCCCGACAAGCACATCATCTTGTATCTACACACTCCGTCCTTCCTGAGACAGCGTGGCCGGCCACCTGGGCACAGACATGCCCACGCAGGTGCCGCCGGCGATTAACCAGAGGGCACCGTGAATCCAGAAGCTCTTTGCTACTGTGGATTCAGGCCCAAAGAGTGAAACTGTCATGTAAAAGCATTTATTGCAATTTCTTGAAATTCTCAAGGCCACTTTTAGGGGGACGACATCGCAGCCAACATTTGCAAAGCATTTCAGGGATTTTGTCGTCTTCATTCTCCCTACCCCCCAGCATCCTTTGCACACTTTTGAAATAGACTTTGGACTGCCACGGTAAGGAAAACCAGAATCATTTGCTTCGGAGGCGGAAGGTTCAGCGAGTAAAGTTTTTTTTTTGTTTTTCTTTTTGTTTTTTGAAAGAAAGAGCATGAATTTAAGGGTTTGAAATTCAAGTTTGGAAAAACTTAATCCTCAGACCAAAGACTGTTAATCGCCGTGAATTCACAACTATCCGGCCGGAGGAAGCACGTGAAAGTGCCCGCCCACTGTCACACTCAGGGTCCCACCGCGGCCCACCGCCTTTCCGGGGACGTCACCCTCCGGGGAGGTTCCCCATTCACAGAGCAGTGGGGACGACAAGGGTCAGGAGAGGGTCTCTGCACTGGCCCGGGGGACCTGTGCCCACACTGCTGCGCTCAATGTTCGAGCCGCCTCGGCAAAATGACTGAGATTCCGAGACGTTCGCGTCGGCCTCGGTCTGTGAAGTCTAAACCGGGAATGTTAACTCCTTAAGTCGCAATAATACGACTTTAAAAAAACTGGCCCGGGGATGAACGGAAAGGTGCTGGGCTGCTGCAAGTTCTATGCTAGGCAGCAAAGCCGTGGGGTGGGAGCGGGGAGAAGGCTGGTCTCTACTAACCATGTTCCCCACACTCCCCCAGGGCCCCCGGTGAGCAAAGTTCTGAATTGTCAAATCCCCTCGTGCAAGACCGAGGTGAAAAATGCAGACGGAATTTCCAGCGACAGCGTGTGGCTTTGAAACAATCAACTACGTAAGATGAATCATTATGAAAAACTCCCCAAAACTATACTTGGAGAGAACCGTGAGCTGCGGCTCGGGGCTCTGGCTTTGTCAAAGGGCCGCCCTGTACCCCCAGAGCCCCGAGCCAGGTGTGCACCGAGGCTGTGGGGGCACCCAGCCCTGCACCCCAAAGCCTGGTGGTGCCGACGTTGAAAAAGCAGTGAAGGGCACCCGGACACCTTCTGAGTCTCCACACCAAACCCCAGGGAGGACCGACTCTTGCTTGGGCTCGTCACCCGCACAGGCTGGATCCCTGCACCGAATGTCCCCAGATGCATCTCTCGGCTCACCAAAAAGCGGTTCAGCTCCTGGTCTTCCCTCTCGAGTGGCAGCTTCCCCACCCCCGGGTGCGGGAGAGGACGGGCAGGGTACCAGGCCCGAGGGAGGGCCAGAGCCCGAAGTGGGCGTGAGCCTGCCGGGAGGTGAGGCTCTACGGGGTCGCCTCGACCCCTCCCCGGGTGAAGCTGCCAGGCCTCCGCTTGTGACTGGGGGCGCGGGGCGGGGGGTGGGGGTGGAAACCTCCCTGCCGGCCCGGCCCCCTCACCCCCCAGCCCCCGGGCGCCCGGCCAGGTGCGCTCGAGCACCTCCCGCGGGGCGGGGCCGGCCTGCGCCCGGGTCTGTGCCGGGGATGCGCGGGGACCCGGGCGCCGGGGGCCGCAGGGGCCAGGGGCCGGTCGGGGCCCCGCGACCCTCCCGGAAGCCGCGGCCCGGCGCGGGGCGGAGTCGCTTTTCCGCCGGAGGGCCGGGCCCGCGGCGGCGCTCGGGGCGGGGAGCCGGGCCAGGCCGGAAGCTCCGGCCGCCCGGCCTCACCTGCGCGCACCTGGGCTCGCCCGCCCCGCGCCGCGGCCTCCGAGGGACGCGGGGCCGCCTCGGGGGCGCTCCCCCCGCCCAGGCCAGGCGGTGGCCCCGGCGCGCCCGCCCCCTGGCCCGGCCGCGCTCGCCCCGCCCCGCCCCGGCCCGCCGCCGCCCCCGGTCCGCCGCTCGCGCGCGCGCGCGCGCCCCCGGGAGGGAGGGGAGGGCGGAGTGGGGAGGGGAGGGGAGGGCCGGGCAGGCGGCGGGCCCGCGCGGGGCCGGGGGGCGGGGCGGGCGGGCGGGCGCGGGCGGCAGCGGCGGCGCCCCCTCCCCGGACCTACCGGCGGCCGCGCTCCGGAAGCCGTGCCCGGTGGCTGGGCATCATGGGAATGGCACGGCCGAGTTCCGGGGGAGGCGCGCGGCCCGCCGGACCCCCGCCCGCGAGCGCGCGCCCACCTGCCGGCCGGCTGCGGGGCGCCCCCGTCCTCGCCCCCCCCCTCGCCCGGCGTCCAGCACCGCGCGCCCCGCGCGCTCCCCGCTTCCCCCACTGCGTCCCCCACTGCGTCCCGCCCGCGTGCCCACGCTCGCTCTGGCCCGGGACGCCCCCGCGCCGGGGAGTTCGGGGTGGCTGACGTGTGACCCCCCGCCCGTCCTGCCGGAGGCGGGGCCGGCGCTGGGGGCCGCCCTGTCCCTGGGGTGCCGGCGCGGCGCGGCGCGGGGCGGGAGTGGGGGTGCGCGCGCCCAGTGGTGCTGGAAGGTGGGGACCCGGAGAGGCGGTCCGTCCTGACGTCGGTGCTGCGATGACCCGATGCAGTGTTACTAGAAGTTCCTCCACGAGTGGCCACTGTGTGCCTGGCACCGAGCCCGAGGCGCGGTCCTCCTGCCCCCCCTCCCCGCGCCGGAGTGTGCCCTGAGCTCCGGGCTGAGCCTGCCGGGGGCCCTGGAAGCCGCCCCACCTCGTCCCCCCCAAGCCCACGTTGCCCAGGCTGCCTGCTTCAGGGCCGGCTTTCTCTCCAGCAAAGCGGCCCAGGCCGCCAGCCGCCTGTGCCCTTAGCTGTGGCGCTTGTTCTCACCCGAAAGAGATCAGAAACCCCAGAAAGCTGAGGCTGGGCCAGTAACCCGCCCAGGGAAGCGGGGCAGGTAGGAGTCGGCAAGGCAAGCATGGCTCAGCCCCTCTGGAGCTGGTCTCTGAGCACCTGGGAGTGCGGGCCCTGGGCCTGGCCTGTGGGGCTGGGGTTCTGGCCTTGGGGGGGTGGGCAGTGTGCGGCTGGGTTTGTGCACAGACCAGCAGCTCTTTCAAACGGGCAGAGGCATGTGGAAGAGACATCGCTGATGGCCTGTTTGCAGAGGGGAGGGGAGCTGGTCTTCAGAAGCGCCCCGAGGGTAGGTCAGGTTCTGTTTCTGCTCTCTTCCCAGGCCATGGGACCTCCTGGCTCAGACGCCCCTGCTCACAGCCTGTGTGTTGCGGGGGCTGCTGGGGGTCCCAGGGGCCGAGCGGTGGGAGCCTGCTTGGTGACAGAAGCAGATGAAAAAAAGGCATGGTGACTGTCTGTCTGGATGTCCCCACTGGCCTCCTTGGCCTCCGCCCAGATGCCTCGGGCGGGGGGGGGGGGGGGGGGGGGAAGCTGGGGTTCTTTTCCATCTAGTTAGTTCCAGAGGTTTCACAGGATGAGAACCGGAGGCTTTTTCTCATAGGGAGTAAGGGGGGAGCAGTTCTAATCTTGCGGGGCTCGGGAGTTTGGGGGCCAAGTGCCAAGAAACCCATGAAAGCATTGTTGTAATGCTTCCGTGAGTTCCTTTAATAAACCATGGTTTTCCCTGTGAGAGTGATAGGCGTTCATTACAAGGAGTTTGAGAAGACGGATCTCATTAATAACGTAGCTACGCAGAGATGCGGACCGTAACTACTGTGGCATGTTTCTTTACGGTTTTTAAACGGCGCCGTGATGAACATCTCCGATGATAAGGTAGCGCTGCCCCCCACCCCTTATCCGTGGGGGATCTGTTCCAAGACCCCCAGCGACCGCCTCAAACTATGGAGAGTGCCGAGCCCTGTATGGATTCCGTCGTCTCCTGCAGGGCCAGAGCCGAGGTCGAGGTCAGCTTGCACACGAGGCATAGGAAGGAAATGAGGACGCAGCTGATAGTAAAATAGGGCCACAGTAACCATGCGCCGCGATAGAGTCACGTGGCTGTGGTCTCGCTCTCCAGATACCACGTTGCCCTGGGCTCACCCTTCTTGGA